GTCACTTTTGTTTTGAAAATCACGGCTTCAGCTTTGCAGCATATGTTTTGCCAAATATGCATGCTCACAGTGTTCTTGATTAGATGTTCCTTAGACTTGCACAGGGTATTATCAACAGGGCTGGCATGCTCACGTAAGCTCAGAGGCCTTAAGGTGCCAAAAAAGACCCACTATGCAACCACAGAATCCTTTGTTTCTCTAAAGCACTTTCATTTATGGTTCTTTGAAGAACGATTGTTGTAAATAAGATGTACAGGTGTACTTTAAAATGTGTAGAACCTTTTAAAGCACAAAAACCTCTGCATAATGCAAAGGTTGTACACCAATGAAAGCTTTTCCCTAGAACAATATGTTCAAGCAACCATTTTATTTTTAAGAGTTCACTTATATAGACAGCCATTTCACTCATTTAGTGGTTTTATATTTGACGCAGCATTTTCCTGAACTGCAATTTTCATCAAGCCTTTACTGGGCAAAAGTGACACACTGTTTATCCTTATGGAGTCTCTGTGGATTGAGGTGTCAGATGAGTGATATGTACTTATTCACGATGGGGTTGCAGTAAGAGCTCCCCATTAGAGCCAACATGTGGGCCTGCTGCTGCACCACCTGTGGTCACGCAGGTGCAGGAGACAGAGCCCAGCTGTTTGGGATGCAGAGGGAAACGTCCTTGTACCCATTCGAGCCCGCATGTTGACGCGTCTACTTCTGCAGACCCTCCGCAACTCTGTAATTGCGTGCCTTAGCCCATCATCATGTTCCGACAGCTTGAGCGGTAATGACGTTACGAGCAAAATGGCGATAATTATGGAGGAGTGGAAAAAAGGCTTGATTCGATCAATCAGAGACACCTCGTAAATGCAATGGGATTAACATACCAATCAAGGCTTTTTTCCCCCGGATGCGAGAGATCCTCGGTTTCTCCCTCAGATGTCCTCATAAAACACCGACATCTTTATAGCCTCAGCTCCCCCGCTCTCAGGGTTACTGCTGGGTCGTAAAAGTTTTTAATGGCAGACAGCCCTTCTCCGGTCTTGATTATTGTCAATTTAGAATCATGAGTCATGAGACAGAGCAGTTTATTAATAATCAGACACAAGCGTAAAAGCCAGAATCTGCCCAGGCAACAGGGCAGCAATCCACATATTTCTTACAACTTAATCAATTGAAAGAGATCCAAGATCACAGGGAGGGTAAAAACAAGGTAATGATTTTTGTCAGAGTTGAAAGGAACCATATACTAGAGGGCCTCAGTTTAAGTGCTTCACTCAATTGGACATTGACTCAATTCTCGTTTTGCATAGTAACTATTATCTCTATATATATATATATATATATATATATGTGTGTGTGTGTGTGTGTGTGTGTGTGTGTGTGTGTGAGAGAGATATACATCACCCAGAGATTTCATTGAACACCATTTAAAAAGTTACAGTAGTTGCTTTTCTGCTGTTTTTTGCTTCTGAAACATCGTTTTTGAGGTCACAGCAGTATTCAGCAGGATAACTAGGGCTGCATTTCCCTTCTTTCCGCTTTCCATGTCGGAAATGTTTGGATGAAATCACTTGCCACGCTGGTCATTTTTGTCCATCTGCCTTAACACCTCTGCTGCTGGTTTGAGCTAACGAGAAAAGTCAGACAGTTGGAAGGAAATCCTGGGGAGGATTCTTACTTTCTTAGCATGTACTCATCTCGACAACAGGCATGCTGCTTTTACTGCTTGACTTAGCTTGTTCACATTTTGTTTTACTTTTCTAATTTGAGAACCTACAAAAATCCCTTCTTTGATTCTTAGATCTTAAGGAAATGTATATTTCTGATTCCTATTTATACACTGGCCAAAAGTATGTGGACCATCACACCTACATGAGCTTGTTGGCCATATCATTCCAAAACCATGGGCGTTAATATGGAGTTGGCCCTCTTTTTGTGGCAATTACAGCCTCCACTTTTCAGACAAGGCTCTCCACAAGATTTTAAAGTGTGTCTGTGGGAATTTGTGCCCATTCACTCAAAAGAGCATTTGTGGGGCAGGCACTGGTGTTGATCAAGAAGGCCTTGCTCACAATCAGCTCTCCAGTTTATCTCTACAATGTTCAGTGAGGTTGAGGTCAGGGCTGTCTGCAGGCCACTGGAGTTCCACCACATGAAACTTGTCAAACCATGTCTTTATGTAGCTTGCTTTGTGCACAGGGGCACAGTCATGCAGGAACAGGAAAGGACATTCCTCAAACTCTTGCCACAAAGTTGAAAGCTTATAAATATCAAATATCTCTTTGTATCCTGCAGCATTAACATTACCCTTCACTGGAACTAAAGATCCTATAGGCCAAACCCTGAAATACAGCCCAGACCATTATCCCTCCTTCTAGGAAAAATTCTCCTGGCATCCGCCAAACCCAGATTTGTCCCTTGGACTGCCAGATAGGCATGATTCATCATTTCAGAGAACACATTTTCACTGCTCCAGAGTCCTCTGGTGATGTGCTTTACACCACTCTAGCTGATGCTTGGCATAGTGATCTGAGGCTTGTGTGCAGCTGCTTGGCCATGGAAACCCAGTTCATGAAGCTCCAAGCACAGAGTTGATTTTTACATGCTACATAGTGGTCCCACTCTGTGAGCTTGCATTGTCTAGTTCTTCATGGCTGAGCAATTGTTGCTTCTAAATGTTTCCATTTCACAATAATAGCACTTGCAGTTAACCAGGGTGTATCTGTCAGGGTAGAAATTTCTAGAACTGACTTGTGGCAAAGGTGGCATGCGTGAAGTTCAAAGTCACTGAGCTGTTCAGTACGACCCATTCTACTGCCAGTGTTTGTCTATGGAGATTGCATGGCCGTGTCCTTGATTTTATACACCTGCTAACAATGAGTGTTCGCTTTAACACCAGAACTCAAGTAGATGTGCAGGTGAGAATGTTTACTTCTTTGCATTATCAATAGTGTTTGTTCCCATTAGGTTCCCTAATGAACCTTACAATCAAGTGGATTCAATTAAGGTTTTCAAAAGAATCATAGAGTGAAAGGTTCTTTAGGTAACAAAAAGCAGTTAATCTGTGCGTTTGCTCTAAATAACTCTTTATTCTTGAGAGTGTAAGATTAGAATAAACCAAAGTTAAACAATACTTTGTAGGGGTGGCGTCAGGAAATTCAAAAAAACACACATTCTCACATACAAACACAAAAACTCCCACAGACAGGAAATTTACTGAATGTGAGTTTTTTGCTTGCAAGTTGCTTTTATTTTCTCTCAGTCATTTTAGATCTCAATTATAGATTTAACTAAAGCATATTCCACTGAAAAAATGAGCAGCAACAAAACTGATAGACAATGAAACAATTATGAACTCATTAAGTCAGGCATTTTGCGGATGTTTTTTGTAATGCAAGACATCTGTTCAAATCTGAATAAAGACTCAGAACACATGGGAGGCTTTGTAGTTTTTTTATGTAGAGCATGACAAAACTGCAGAACTCAGAGTTAAGAATAATAAGTAGATGGGTAAAAATAGCAATAATAGGTGTATAATAATAGTATATTGAATTTAAGGGACTCAGAGTTATTTCCACAGTTCTTTGGGGGATGCGTGCTGAAGAGGTGACTGGTGCCTCATATGAGCTTTACTGAGATACTCTAACATTCCTGCAATGATTCAGCAAGACATCTTGACAGTTGGATGCAAACTATCTGGGTAAAATTGGAAAGGAAGGCTTGAGCTATTCCTGCAGTGAAAGGCTCGGAGATGCAGCTCACGGATGCCAAGCGCTGACAGGGAGAATCTTTTAGCCTTGCAGTGACCTGTGTACTTAGATCAACCTATCAAATCCAGTCTGGAGATTTCTAAAAATGCAATATCTTCATTTCCCTTTCACTCTCTCTATCTTTCATCCCTCATCATTCTGAAATGTGCATGAGTTTTAACTAGGGCCACGCAATATTATATATATATATATATATATATATATATATATATATATATATATATATATATATATATATACACACATACATACACATACATACACACACACACACACACACACACACACACACACACATATATATATATATTATATTATATATGTATGTATGTATGTATGTATGTATGTATGTATATCATGCATATATCTATTTGTTATCACTATATAGACTCTGCGACACTGATATTTCTGAAAACAACAATATGCAAACTTCCCCTTCATTAATTCACGAATGTTTTAAGTCATGTGTTGTGAGAATCTCAGACATTCCGGATGAGTTAGTGTAGAGTTTCATGATAATCATTGAGATCCAAAAAGCCTAATATGTTTTAGGTTACATTAATATCAGGCCTAATATCAGGTTCTAATATCAGTTTCTCAATTCCCAGGCCATTAAGTTATACATTTTTCTACATCAGAAAAAATGGAATACATATTTAACAGAAAATCAAGTCTGAATAACCAACATTTTCAATATTTAGTGAAGAATTTCAGTATTTAGTGCCTTTATTACAGCTACTATTCTTTCTGGGAAACCTGCAGGGATATTTCGCCACCCCTCCAAAGTTCAGTCTTAGAAGTTGATTGCATTTTCTGTTTTTCACAACCTAAGTAATCTGGGCTGTGTCTAGACTTTGTTTTGGAAACTGGAAACTCAAGTGGATTATCTTCCATGTAATCTCCTCAAAAATATCTCCTAAAATATCTCCTCACAGTACTGTATATCACAATGACAATACATAACAATATAATCAACATATAGTATTTCACGCAACACCCGCAAAAAAAGTGCCAAAAATGGATATTTGGAGAGATGCCATGGAAGAACCACTTTTGGTTTCTTAAAGAATCTTTTCTGTAAATGAGATATGTGAAGATCCTTTTTAAATTTCAAGGAACTTCTACATGACGTAAACCTTCTATAGCAATTAAGTTTTTCCTCAACCTGTATAAGCCGAGCACCATTTACTAAATCAGGTTTTAACCTAAAACCCTCTTCTGATCTTCTCCCTTCAGATTGCTCCAAGCCAAGTGTCACCAAGGGTTCCTCAGCCATGAATATGCCCCAGTCATTCGGCTCTGCCATGGGCTTCTCCCTGTCAGAAACCCTTCCAGCTGCCAGCCTGCCTAGCCTGTCGCGGAACGGCTCTGATCGAGGCCCGCTGCTGACAGCTGAAGACAGCATCACCTATTTGGCTCCCACCGCCGATACTAATAAATGCTGGCCCATCCGGCCCACATTACGAAATGAGCTGGATACCTTCTCCGTGCATTTCTATATCTTCTTTGGGCCCAACATCTCCATCCCTCCAGACCGGGCAGCGGTGTTTGCCATCAATCTGATGCCAGTGCTTGACAGTGGAGGAGTCCTCAACATGGAGCTCAAGCTCAACGTGGTGAGTAGAGAGGGATCATATGGTACTGAAGGAAGGTTGCAAGAAGGTTGCTAGTTTATACACCGACCTTGTGCCTACACTCATTGACTATTTTAGGGCTGCAATGAATATTCAACAATTCAAATAGTTATGCAAAGCCATTCTGATAACTGACCTTCAGGTATATATGTGACACAGTACCCTATGACATGTTCATTAATGATATGGCTTCTTTTAAATTGTTTGGATAATTTGTCGTAACATGTCGTGCTGTAATATGATAACAATATACACATAACTGGTACATGAAGCCGATGATGTACAGCCTGCTGTCTCTACTCTCTGTCCTTCTGAAATTTCAGTCAAACGCACATCAAGCAGGAGATATGAGGTTTTTCCAGTCATTATACGTTGAAAACAAGGGATATAATGTTAGATGAATTTTAGGCCACTAATATTGTTTGTGTTTTAGCACGACACCCCAAAAGGCTAAACAAGCCCTAAAACACGCATAGATAGTTCTTTACTAAATGAAGTGTATTTTGAAGTTTGTATTTTTATTATTATTTATTTTACTTATTTTTAGTACTAGTAGGTAAAATCCTGAAATCTATGGGTGCTGCAGCCTCCTCATCACCCCCACTGTCCATGGACTCATGAGAAAAGGATCTGTCTGCATGCCATGCAAATCATATCATTTTGGTTTCTGACCGTTCACAGCACTGCTACCAACATAATAACGGCATGTTAGAAGGAGTTGTGCTGGTATGAGTGCAGTAGCATTTTCTGAGCACAGATTAGTTTTTGGAAAATTACACACATAGTCATTTAAACACTGAGAATCTTTTTTTCTGTGTTCAGAAAAATAGCATACATACTCAAGTGTGAATTATGATTTCCCATCATTTGGTAATGGAAGTACATCCTGTTATAAAACAGGAAAAAACCAGTAAAACATTAGAAGTTTGTCAAGCTAAGGGTTGCAGAGCAAAACATGGAAATTAAGGTCCATTGTAGGTCTCTAGGGAGAAAAATGCAGTGACAGCTTATTTTTCTGCTTTCTGTTCTATAGGCTTTTGAAATACCATAGCCTTTGCTATTATGGTTGCTTATTACTGCTTCCCAGAGTTGCATACTACCTTGCACCAAACAGCCAAGCTCTGTCACACATCTGACGCAAGACTAATACCCTTATATTTGGCAGGGTATGCTAGCCCAGATCCATCAAAAAGGGCAGTAACTCATGCAAAATGCAGGAAAAAGCAAAGGATAAAGATAACTGTCATTCTGACGGAATGAAATTCATACTTTCATCTCTTATCCCTGGTTGCTAACTGCAGGATGAACACTTTGCAGATGTCAAATTACAGCTATCTTGCATGCTAGAAATTGTACGTCAGTTTTTACTACAACATACTGTAGTTCTGCAACTCCTTTAACATTCATGGACTTCCTTCTGATAAACCAAGTCTTTAATGCATTGTTCCTCAGGCTTGTGAGAAAATCGCTAGGTGGGTGCTAGCAAAACACACGGTAGAACAATCTTATTCAAACAGTTGCAATGAAATCACAAAGTTCTGTGACACTTCGGAGGTGTTGGAAAGATTAACGGTTGAATAATCCAGGTTTTCAGATTGTTCTTGCAACCAAAAAGGAACGATCTGGAAGAGCTTGTTGGCATTTGAAAGGCTCAAGGTTAGGTCTGTAGAGATTTCCAACACTATGCAGGTGTGGGTGGATGAGGAGTTCTGCACTTTAGCCTGATTAATAACAAATGTTAGCAATCAAGTAAGTGCCAGCCAATTCCTCCTGCCTTGAGGGATGTAACACCTGAAGAGTGCTGCCGCAAATGTCACCGTCATTTCCAACTGTCGAGGCTTGAACTTCACTCGTGGGTCTTTGTTCCTGAGAAAGAAGAAAAGAAAGAGAGATTGTAAGCTGTTGGATATGATCTTTAATCACGGTTTGAATCTTGACGGATCACTTGAAGAGGTTTTGTGTGAACAACATGATGACAACAACGCAAATGTACCCTCACCTTGATTTGAATGTCAGTAGAAGGCTCTGAAAGGTCAGACGGAATAGGGAGAAGGATCTATTAAGCAGCACTTCGATCTTGTGTCTGTTCAGTCACAAAAGTGCAGCCACATCCTTCTCACCTCCATTTCCCCCTGGAGATTTCATCAGTGTGCATTAATGGATATCTCCTGGAGTGGTATCGGCGGGGAAAAAGGCGAGGAAAATAAGCCGCCAGTGGCTAGGGGTTATTTTAAAACGTCAAATATGAAGCTTTCAGTGGCTGAGAGGTGGAACACACAGTGCTCAGACTGAATGTTGAAATGTGTCTGAGTGGTCCTGACTAAAGAGGGAATATGATTGTCAGCAAGGAAGGAGAAAGAATCAGAGGCAGGGTTTCTCTGACACCGCATACACGTGAACAAGCATTTCAGGACAACCACTTTCTTTTAAAGTAGAGTGCAAGATATGGAGAACATGGGAGGTAAGAACAGTGCAATCAAACACTTATGAATGAACCTTTGATTTGAGGATCAGTTCTGGCTAAGAGAATCTATTCAGTCTCATCCCCTTTGTAAATGGAAAAGGGCATGGTTATGCATTTTCAATCAGCAGACAAGCACGAGCAAGACAAATCAGCACTTAGACAAATGAGAAGATATGAATGAAAACAATGCTGTACTCTGCTGAACTCACTTGAATCAAGTGAGGCTTCTCCAATACATCTTAGTGATGTAATTAGGGCTACAAGTACAGAATGTGTTTATTTTCAAATGTTCCAGCAAATACCATCTTGAATATTTAAATATTCTATGAGAAGAAATCAAAATAGGGGCTGTGGTGAGCACTGCCACTGCAGATTTTCATTTTGCTCCCCAAAGAACAAGTAAGTGATTCATTTGAGCACTATAATTTCTACTGTTTCTTGCACCGTTCCCTCTCAACCAATCACAAAAATGATTTTCTGATTGGGTTTTGAGTTGCATAAAAACAGATGCACAACAAAAACTCTACAGTCTGTGGTCCATGGCATACAGGACAAGCAATCAGCGAGATATCAGAGTTAAAAATATAATGGCTTTATTGTGATGTTTTTGTGCTCATACAGGCATACAGGATAAGCAATCAGTAAGATACACTATATGCACAAAAGTATTGGGACACAAAGTTTCAGCCACTCATTGTTAACAGGTGGATAAAATTGTAGCCTCGATAGACAAACACTGGCAGTGGAATGTGTTGTACTGATGAGCTCAGTGACGTTAAACATGGCGCTCAAATAAGAAGCCACCTCTGCCACAAGCCAGTTTGTGATCTGTCCTGCTAGATCTACCCCGGTCAACTGTAAGTACTATAATTGTGAAATAGGAACGACTAGGAGCAACAACAGCTTAACCACAAAGCAGTAGACCACGCTAACTCACAGAGTGGGACCGCCGAGTGCTGAAGCACACAGTGCCTGTCCTCTGTTAAATCACTCACTAACAAGTTTTAAATTGCCTATGGAAGCAACATCAGCAAAAGAACTGCCCGTTAGGAGCTTCATGAAGTGGGTTTCCATGGCCGAGCAGCTACACACAAGCCTAAGATCCAAATGCACAATGCCAAGTGTAGAGGGGAGTGGCACACCGCCACTGGACTAACAGTGGAAACATATTTTGTGGAGTGACAAATCTGGCAGTCTGATGGACGAGTCTGAATTTGGTGAATTCCAGGAGAACGTTACCTGCCTGACTGCATTGTGCTAAGTGTAAAGTTTGGTGGAGGAGGGATGATGCTATGGGGTTGTAATTCCAGGAGTTGGCCTAGACCCCTTAGTTCCAGTGAAGGGAAATCTTAATGGCTCAGCAAACCAAGACACTTTGGACAATTATATGCTTCCAACTTTGTGGGAACAGTTTGGAGAAGGCCCTTTTCTGTTCCAGCATGACTGAGCCCCAGTGCACAAAGCAAAGTCCATAAAGGAATGGTTGAGTGAGTTTGGTGTGGAAGAACTTGACTGGCCTGCACAGAGCCCTGACCTCACCCCCTTCAAACACCTTTAGGATGAACTAGAATAGAGACTATGAGCCAGGCCCTCTCATCCAACATCAGTGTCTGACCTCACAAATGCTCTTCTGCATGAATGGGCAAAAAATAAAAAAATCCCACAGACATACTCTAAAATCTTGTAGGAAGCAGTGGTAGCTGAGGTTAGCTATTTTGAAACTCAACAGCCAAACGAAAACATCCCCTTGCGTCAGACTTTCCTCAGAGATTTGCTACCAAAACACATGAACACACACAGCCTAGGCTGGAATGCTAATGCTAACTTAAATGTAATCAATTGTCACAAATACAGAGATGGCTAAAATCTGTATTTCTGGTTGTGGAGTGTACTCCAGCTACAGCTAAAAAGTTGGAATAAAATTTGGTATATTGAGTCACAAATGTCTTACTTGTGAGTTAAACCACTGCAGCATCAGTAACTGAAGATAACATGTAGAATTTAACAAAACTAGCTTGTAGCTTGCTTATGATTTTACTTAATTTCATAAATGGTTAAGTCTACAAAGCAAAGCATGGGAGGTACAGTAGTCAGCAAATCAGCATTCCTTCAAGATGGTCCTAACTAGTCTAAATTCAGGTTTGACTTGATTAAATATCAAATATCTTTGATAATTACAGTACTAGATGTAACATGCAGTTCATGCTGTCCTGAAGTCTCTTTTTGTTAAGTCAAACGTGCTCAAGTGAAGCAAAGTGCAATTAGAAGCAATCCTGTATCACACGAGTCAACCAGTGTGGGGGAAATGAGCTGCGTCTGTGAGCTGAAAAGTCATTTTCCTCAATCAGCACTTCGGAAGCTTGCTGTAGATTGGCTTTTTTCTTTGTCATTTAATGGCAGCTCTGGGCATAGTAAAAAAGACCTATTTTAAAGTTGAAGTAAAGACCAGCCTCTTGAGTGGGTGCCACAGCTGTAAAGTAAATGATTTCCGCCTGACGCCATATGCTGCCATCTGGGA